GAATCGTGAGTGTGTTTCTTAATTTTTAATTTTCCCCTTTTTTCTACGCCTGTCACGACCCAACAAAAACGATTTTTAATTTTTTTTTTTAAAAAACTGAACTAGTGAGCAGCACTCTGCGAACAGTTGTTATAAAGCTTCTCTATTCTCCGACGCGTTTCTTTTAACTGTCATGACTTCTTAAGGGAGTTTTACTGGTTAAAACTAGACGCCTGTATTTATAAGCCATAGTTAGCGGCCATACGGGTACCAATGACCTTGAATGCTTGGCCGGACATACGAACAGGAACAGGCGAAGTTGTAAAAAAATTTGAAATTTTTTTGGGCAACGTGAGAAAATATTTTGGGAGCCACGGTTTTAGCTAAAACCGTGGCCTCCAAAAATGATAGCAAAGCAAGCCCAAAACGGCAAAAATCTCAAAAACCACCGCAGACACGCAAGGGGTGAGTAAGTTTCATCATTCTTACGTGTAAAATGTTTATATTTCGGAATACCGGCTTAGTGTTGTAAATCGACCATATTTCGTTCCCCATTCCTTATAACGCATTCAAATTCTCAACGGTTCCTCGCGAACGTAACACCGGGTCACACAACGCGTGACGCTTTCGTGAAATAATCTTGCGCTTTTCCTCGGGACGTGAGCTTTGGACGCCTGCGCACCAACTATCTTCCTTTTCCAAACCACTGCGGTTTTTAATTCGTTTGTGAAATCGAAATGTAAGTAATAAAAAATAAAAAACTCTGTGAACAGACTTGAACCCCTAACTGACGCAACTTCTTGAGTGGTTTGGGAAAGCTTTGGGTTTCTTCGCTCAAAACCTTTGCTATATACAATAGTGATGTGATAGCGGAAATAGCGTTTTAGTATAATATTCCACTGGTCCCCCCTCCAACAATGAAGTTTATTGGTATCGGCTTTCTTATTCAGTGTGTTTACCGATTATAATACAACAATGACTGGTTGATATTTCAACAACCAACCGTCTTCCTTTTCCAAACCACTGCGATTTTTACTTCGTTTGCGCAATC